AGGAGAAATTCATTTTCGAAAGCATTTATATGTGCCTGTACTTTGTGCGTCCAGATTTCATGCTGGCTTCCTGATCGACATACGTGGAGTTTCGACTCCAATACGAGAAGGTTCATGGGCAGGAACAAAGGATTTATGCCCAGGGCCAACATCACTTTCTTGATATGCTCATTTATGTCTGGAATAGGATAGAGTCGTTCATTACATATTTCTGCGATATGACCGTTAATGCAAGCGCTGTTGTACGCAATTCAGCCATCGTTCTTGTCCCGTCGTTGGAACAGCTGTTTCCATGCCATCGAACAACACCAGCCTGACCGAGGTACGGTAGAGGCGATGAACAGGGTCAACTTCCCTTTCTCTTTCTCCACATCCTCGTTAGAAGACAGATCTTTTTGCCGTTGAAACAATGAAACGGTTCATCCACAGTAGTTGAACTCCTTTTTAACTGCTCCTAAGCTAAAACCCTTGTCTGTTTTTGATGTTCAACACTAAAGCTCAGTTCGTTCTACAACCGGAAAGCTTCAGTTCACAGAACCGGTCGAAAATGCCGTCTTACCGCTTTTACGGGTAGATGCAAACGACTGATCCACCTCGTCTTTTTCCTCGTCAGCAGCGTTTTGCTGCGTGCAAACGGAATCACCGTGTCGTCACTGAATTGCACCACTGAAACCGATGCGCTGATTCGCAATTGATAGAGGAACGTTTCGAGCTCCTGTTTCATTTCTTTAACGTTGTCCTTTTCTCGAGCCACGGCGAATACACGAATTTGGCAGTTCGACCACACCTGGTGTTGCCTGAAAATCACCCACCGTTAAAAGCTGCAATAAAGTGATTCTGAATAACGGAAGAGTCTGTATGTTTGAACAGTGGGTGCTACGTTTTCAGCCCTTCACTGATGATGCTTAACTCTGAGTGATTAACTTTCGAAAAATCCAATCACCGCTAAGATTCATGTCAGACGTGTCTAATGTGACTGTGCACCGATTGTGGAAATGGTAGTCAGTCGATCTGCCATGGCTGGAGTGCAAGTGCCCAGAAATAGAGCTACTCAATGACAAGACTAGCCTGAAATGAGGCACAACCTTACTGTAGTGTATATAGGGAAATTATTACTTGACTATGAAGAACTCGTAGAAGAAGATGAAGTTGACTGCCCTGCCCTTGTTTATAAGGCCTGTTAAACTCTGTGCATCACAGCGAGGTCTTTTCTTTATTTTCTTTGAGCACTGCTGGCTATTCTTGCAAACCGATATCTAAACTGCTGGCAGGTTTGTTTATTATGTTTTTTGAGCATGTATCAGGTTTAACCGTTCAGAACTAGTAAACGGTCTCCTATACAAAAATCACGGGCAAAACATCGTTCCTCGAAAGCAGGCCAGGAGCTGGCCTGTGAGCGTTTCCTGACCTTGCCTCAACCTCACAGATTTTCTAAACTTGTACTCGTTATTAAAAACTGTGATTTGTAGAATAACTTTTCAGGATTGGTTTGAAGTTGCCGCAGCGCTCAAAGGAGCCCATTATACCTCCCAATGTACTGCTGTTGGATGGAGCAAAATGCTCTAATGATAAGGACTTACTTTAAAAGAAACGGTAAGAGAATCAGGATGCCGCCGTCGTGCATAATCCACCAAACGTCGACGTTGCCGGAAACCTTCTGTCGTTCAGTCGGCATTTTTCCTCTGAGCATTAAAAGGCACTTTTCCATAGTTGCCCCTGCATGCAACGCATCTAAAAGTTGGCATTTACCGCGAATAAATTTCGGTGATTATCTTCAATAAGGATTAAAAATAATGGCCTGTAACACATGGACTTTGTGTGGTTAGATGAGCACCTGGAAAAAAATTGGAAACCCAATAAATTATTCCAGACTCCATTTGTCCTTTGCTGAAGCTCAGACTCTGGCATAGGATGGGGAACGTTGTAAGCTCGGTCTGACGTGTCTGCCTCCGCGACCCGAAAGGAGCAGCGACGATG